AGAGAGACAGGGACAGAGACAGAGAGAGACAGAGAGAGAGAGAGAGTGAAGGAGAGAGATTGAGTGAGCGCTAAAGACGAAACTACAAACCCTACAAACCCTAACAGCCTGAATCATAGACCCTGAAACCCTATTATAAACCCTATATAAACGTAAACCCTTATAAGCCCTCACTGCCCTAACCCTATTATAAACCCTATAGAACCTTACAACCCCTAGACTTTCTTTCTCTCTCCATCTCTTTCTGTCTCTCTCTCTCTCTCTCTCTCTCTGTCCTCCCCTCCCTTTCACTCGCTCACTCACTCACTCACTCACTCACCCATCCACCCACCTCCCTCACGCACACCCTCCCTCATTGACTCCCTTCGTGGCATTTGCTGGCCATGTGCATGTTGCAGGAGCTCAGCCCACAACAGCTCCAGAAAATCTGTGACAATGTCGCAAGCCTGGCCAAGATCAAAATAAATTCGGCTACACACAAGTTGGAGTACAACTACCTGTACCGCTTGACAATGCCGACTTCCAAAGGAGAATCGAAGTGTGACCAGGAGATCTATGATAAGTGGCACAAGGGTTACTCGTCTGTATATCCACCATATATGATGACATGTTTCATGTTGGCTACCTGTCGTAAGGTCACTGTCATCGGATCGGTGTGAACTATGTACTGTGCCGGATTGCTTCCTCGGCTTAGCTCAGGTGGTGCTGACAGGCAAGAGCTGCTGCGTGACTTTGTGACGAAGTGCTACAAGCCCCAAGACTACGACGGGAACAAGGCCATTCCACACACACACACACTCTCTTTCTCTCTCTCGCTCTCTATCTCTCTGGCTTGCTCACTCGCTCGCTTGCTTACTTGTGTTATGGGGATGAATACCTCGTGCTAGGTTTGCTATACACATGTACATTCACTCACTAATTCACCCATCATCCACTCACTCTCTTGGTCACTCCCCTTCCTCCCTCATCCCCCTGCTCAATCAGTCACACTCATACATGCACCCACTCAATCACCCACTTGTGTTAGTGCTCATAATCTGTGAAACCCTGGCCTATGCTTAGCCCTATAAAAAACCGAATTCTGAAACCTGCAACTGCAAACCCTAAAACCCTTTGGGCCCCAAAGCCCTAAACCACAAGACCCGAAACCTAAAGCCCATGCAACTCTATAGGACTCTTTCATAATCCAATAAACCTCAATGTGCCCGACAACCCCGGCACCTATACCAACTTGCGCCGGTGTCGCTTGCAAGGGGCGGCTCGAGACCCTGGTCAAGTTCAAGCGCGAGAAGGAGAAGAGCCAGAAGAGCAACCTCATCAGAGGCTGGCTCACAGAAAAGGAGATGATTAAGCTGGGCTGGGATGAGAGTCGTGGTTTACATTGGTACGGCCATTTTTTATCATATGTATGAAACCGGACTACATGATTCAGTTTGTTTTGGCATCTTCTTCATGATAACTTTCCACGCTGATCAGGACGAAGGTGAAGGGCGCGATGGCATATTGTCAGCGGTTGAAGTTGACGAAGCAGCTATGCTCTGTAACTTTAATCCTGTGGTTTCCTGTACACAATGCATAGCCCTATAATTTCTCATGTCGAAAACCCTCATAGGACTCCTGAACTGCCCATTTGATCCAAACCCTCATCTGTATAATAGGTACCTCACATAGATTTCATCACAACCGCTATTAGCTGTAAGAGGGCCTGTATATGTATACATGTGCATGATCTAAGATGGGCTTCAGACTAACCGAGTGAGGAAGTGCAAGTACACTGGGGAACTGAAATTCCTCGTCGAATTGGAGGATCGTGTAGACGATGAAATGTTGCTTCGGCTACGCTTGGAAGAAGAATTGGCAGCAATCTCCGGCAACGGGCTCGAGGACGGCTTCGCCTTCTCCCTTCACGAGCCGGGCGCCACTGAGATTCCGGCGGAAGAGGATGCCGGAGCCAAGCTTAGGCTCCCGGAGTTTCCTGAGATCACCCAGGATCTGGCAACGTTGGGAGCCCGTGTGAAAAAGTTCAAGGATGCTGCTCTCAAGCGTCGAGGCATCTACACAAGTGTGGAGGAGCGCTTGAAGGAGGATCAGAGCCAGGGCCATGAGATGCTTGGCTGCAGAGAGTTCATGCTGCCAAGTTATTTCGAAAGGTTCATGTGCCCTATGCAGCTATTGCCATTGTGTGCATATATAGGAAAGCATGGGATGGGTGTGTCGGGTGTGTTTTCCAAGCATTGTTATCAGTCCATGCAGCCTTGCTGCAGTCTCAGACCCTCCCAAGTTTCTTGAACATACCCTTTGAAGGTTATCTGTTGGTTTTCTCGTCATATGTCTTCTTATTTGGGTTTTTTGGCTTCGGTTTCAAGTCTCGGGTGGAGGGCTTTCGTGTTTTGGGCTTACCCTTTTGTTAGGGAATCTTTTAAGGTGCCTATAGCTAGCTCCAAGGGTATATATATATATATAATATAGGGTCTGCCAGATAGAAAAGTAAGTGCCCTACAGGGTACACTTAAGGCATGTTTTAATTCATGAAGGTTGGAAAGATGCAGATGCAACCTGTGTCACAAGCTAATATACCCTTTATTCACAACAAACTGGATAATCCCCAAGCTATCCTGAGCCCTTTGAAACTCAACACTCTATATACCCCCTGAAAGTCCCAACTTTGCCGCTCAGGAAAGACCTTGAGAACCTCAAGCAAACCCTAGGCCACTTGGGCGCTGGTCGGTGCCTACCTTGTATGCTTTCCTGTGTTTCTGACTGGCTGCCAGATCAAATCATGACATCGTACAGCAAGATCTGCTCCACGGAGACGAGCGCTGACAAGAAAAAGCACCTAGGCAGCAACACACGCCAAGTGGATTCCTGGAGTGGGCCTCGCTATAAGGCCCGACAGTTACAAGCTCATTTGCGAGATCATGGAGGGGGCGTGCACTCCTCGGGTGTTGAACCGAACGCATGCAGTGCCAGATTGCAATTTTTATGTTGGGGACTTTGGTGGCTCTTAGGTGCCTCAGTTTTGACAACCTGGCAGCGATTCTGAAGATCCTCGGAAAGCATATATATGAACCCATGCAGTTCTCAATGACACCCACTCTCGCTCACTTCGCTCACTCACTTCACTTACTTGATTCACTCACTTCACTCACTCACTCGGACCCACTCGCTCACTGACTGTCACTCTCTCTCTCTCTCTTTCTCTCTCTCTCTCTCTCTCTTTCTCTTTGTCTCTCGCTCTCTCTCTCTCGCTCTC